CCAGCCCTTCCGAAAAGAGCCCGTTCGGCGCCGAATGGAATTACATTCGGCGAATCTCCGCGCAAACGCCGGATGGGCTCTGATCTGCGTGAACTAAACGTGTAGAAAGCATTATAGTAGGTCGTGTCGCCGGATGGACTCTCTTTTCGCCGGATGGACTCCCTTTGCTGGATGGGCTCTGATGGCAGCCGGATGGGCTCTCTTCCAGCCGGATGGGCTCTATCCCGCCGGATGGGCTTTAATTCCGCCGGATGGGCTCTGTGAAAAGGCCTCGCCGAATGGACTCTGTAAAATCCGAAGTGAGTTCTTGAAAAAAACAAAAGGAATTCTCATGTTTGGAATGCCCTGACTCAAAAATTACTTACTGCGTGCAGCTCCCCATATGTGAGAGAGCGTGATCCACCGCCGCTTTCCTGTGGAAAATTGCCAACCTTTTCCTCCGGAGCCCGGGGGTCCCCCCCCCTCCGAAAATCCCCCCCCGCTTCGTGCACCCCTTTGGTTCAGGCGATATATGTCTCCAGAAATCGTGTTATTACTCACGCAAGGCTCAATATAACCCAGCGATCAACAGTTGTATCGGTCGTATCTAGATGTATGTAGACATAACTCTTGTTGAAATATAACAAGATGTAAGTACATGCTGCACTTATACCACGACTTGTATCGATTTATATTGTAGTTGCGCTTGGGCCCATCAGAGTTACACAACAGTTATAAATCGTTAGCTGAGAGTTATGATTCAGGAGAAACGGACGCGAAAAGTTACAAACACAATACGAGAGTTATGAACAAGTTAAGAAAACTTATGGAAAAGTTCCTCCCGTCGAATCGCGTGCTCGACGACTGCAAGTGGCGGCAACGTTCGTGGTGGAGGGGGGAATGCCTTAATCGCTGTCGTCGCTGATCGTCTCGGGCCTGTCGGTGTCGTCGTCGATCGTCTCGGGCCTGCCGTCGCTGCTCTCGCTGCTCGTGATCCATTCGGGCCTCGGCGTGCGAATGGGCCAAACGGCGACCGATCGATTGATGAATCGATCGATCGATCGCCGCTCGGCCTTGGAATTCCCCGATGGCCCCGCGAGGCCGCTAAGTTCGAGGCTCCGTCGGCGGAGTCGTCGGCGGCTCCGTATCCGTCGGCGGCTCTGGTAGCGTCGGCCGCGCCCACCGCGCATCAACCCGTGGTGCTACCCGTGCGATCAACCATGGGCCCGCTGGGGGGACCCACACATAGAAAAAAACCTCCCATACACCTACCGCCACTTCCATCTCGAGCCGATCTCGGGAGGGGGGGGGGAAGGAAGGGAGGGGGGGGGGGCAGGGGGGAAGGAGGGAAGGAGGTGGAAGGAGGGGAGGAGGGGGGGAGGGAAGGAAGGAGGGAGGGAAAGAGGAGGGAGGAGAAGGGCGCTCTCACATTTCTGCCCTACCAACATAATTAGGATGCAAGGCCCTTGGGCGCCCAAGTTGAGGCCAAAGTCTTCAAGGATACCCTTGGGGGGGATACCTTTAGGGGGGGGGGGGATGAAGAGGGCCCTGCAGGGATGGCCGACGCATAGCCACGCGCCCATGGCTGGAACGGGCACGAGAAAGGGGAGAGCGAGAGAATGTTGTTCTTCCCACTTGCGTTTCTCTAACGCACGGTGTCTGGTTCGCTGCCAAGGGGTCAAGCCACCGTTGCGGGCAACGATCAGAAACGAACCAAAGAGCACAAGCTCATGGCACTGAAACCGTCGGTTTAAGCTTTCGGGGGGCGCCCGATTTAAGCTTTCGGGGGTCGCCCAGAAACTGAATCGGAGGGGGAGGGAAAGATGGAGGGGAGTGGGAGGGCAGGAAGAGGCGGACGAGGAGGAGTCTCGGGATGTGGACGGGGGCGGCGGCGACGCTGAAAAACCACCATATTTTGTAGCTCTTGTAGGAGACGGGCGGGGCAGGCCCCGCCACGCCAGGGAACTTCAAGGACGCGTTCGGGGCGGCCGCCGGCTTGCGCAGGGCGCGGGCGCCCCCCTTGCCCTTGCCCTTGCCGCGGGCGCCCCCCTTGCCCTTGGCCTTGCGCTTGCCCTTGCCCGTCGCTGCGGGGCCCGTGTCCTATAGGGTTGCACGCAGGGGGCTGACGGGGCGGGGCGGGGGGGGGGCGGCCATCGGGCCCAACGGGGGGGGCGCAAAGAAATAGGAACGGGGTGTGATGAACTCGATGGAGGCCCTGCCCTAAGGGGTGGGATGTCAGATGTGACGCGACCCCAATGGGTAGGATGTCAGATGTGACGCGAGTGCACCTAGCTTGCCCCTCCTCCTCTCGTCCCGCCCCCCCGCCGTCTGGCACGTGGAGGCTCTGCCCCGCTTGCCGCGCCACCAGACAAAGGGCGTCGTTTCCGCCCCTGCTGCTGTCGTTGCTGCTTCTCCTCATCCTCCTCCCCCTCCTCATCCGCCCCCCCCTTCCCGCCCCTGCTCCTGGGGCAATCCTAGAGGGGGGGGGGCGCCGCAGTCACGACGAAACTATGTCTCTGCGAGGGCGACCCTTCTCCTAACTTCCTCATCCCTCTTCCCCCCCATCCCCCTCGCCCCAAATCCCACCAGCCCTCTGGGCTTAGGGGGTTCAGGGAGTTTCCTCTTCCATCTTCCCTTCTTCCCCTTCGGGGAGGGGTTTGCCCCTCCCCCTACCCCCCTCCCCTGGACCTGGACGGGGGGGTTCGCTGTTAGTCGGGGGCGTCCAAGATGGCCCAAGATGGCTCCAAGAGGGCCTCGGAGAGCCCAAGATGACCTCCAAGATGGCTCAGGACAACCCAAGACGCCTCAAGATGGCCCCGAGGATGCTCCAAAAGGCCCCAAGACCGCCCCGAGACGACTCCAATTGGCCACGTAGCCTCCCAAGGAGGCCCCCCAAGAGGCCAACATGGCTCCAAAACCTAAGGACAATCAATGTTTTTTGCTTTCTCACCTTTTCGCTTCCGATGGCCATTCGAGGCATCAAAATGGTTCCAATAGGGCCCAAGAGGGCCCCAAGAGGGGCCCAAGATGGCTCCAAGACGGCCCTAAGAGCGCCCAAGAGCGCTCCAAGAGCGTCCCAAGAGGGGTCCAAGAGGCGATGTTAGAGGCTCCCGATGGGGGGGCGCTAATTGGGGGACGCCCTCCTTTGATCGATCACCTCCAAGATGGCCCCAAGAGCGCTCCCAAGGCTCCCAAGAGCGCCCCAAGAGGGCCTCAAGAGGCGCCCAGGAGGCCCCAAGAGGTCCCCAAGAGGCCCTCACGAGGCTCCCTAGACCCCCAAGAGGCCTCAAGAGGATCCCCGAGGCATCCAAGACTCCCAGCGCTCCAAGAGGACTCCAAAACAACTTACAAGGGGCATCCTAGGAGGCTCTTGTGCACGGCATTGTTTTTGTTCCTTATCATCTTTCTCATCCTCCTCCTCCTCCTCCTCCACCTTGTCGGCCTACTCCTCCTCCTTCTCCTCCACATTATCAGCCTCATCCTCCTCCTCCTCCGTTCCTCTTCTCCTCCTCCCCCTCCTCCTCCTCCTCCTCCTCCTCATCCTCCCCCTCCTCCTCATCATCCGCCTATTCTCCCTCCTCCCTCCTCCCTCCCCCCAGTTTTCCCACCTGCTGCCCCTCCTCCCTCTCCTCCTCCTCCTCGTCCTCCTCCTCCTCGTCCTCCTCCGACCCCTCCTCCATCCTGGCCCTCTTGGGTAAGACGGGTCCCCCAGCCCTTTGCTACTCTGCATGCTCCCTCACTTCCCAGATCACCGCAATTCGCCTGGGCATCGTTTTTGGATGGGCTGGTGGGGCTACTTTTCCAGCGAGCGGGTCGTCTGGTGGTGATGCGCGAAGCGTCAAGAATTCACCCCCTTGAGTCCGCCTCCACCCACGCTTCTCCCTCCTGGTGGAGTTCCTTGCCCCTGTCCTCGCCCTCGCCCCCGTCGCTCTCATCAGCATCAGCCGCGGCCGCGGCGCCCCGCTTGCCCCTGCCTTTAGCCAGCGCCCTGCCGAACCTTCGCAGGACGAACCAGGGCGCCCCATTCTTCTCAAGACCCCCACCACCCCATCCCACTTCCCCGAGGAGAGGGCGAGAGGGGGAACAGGAGCGGATGGGGGGGAGGGGAGGGTGAGGAACAACGGGGAGGAGGAGGGAGGCAGGAGAGGAACGAGAGAGGAACAGGATGAGTAAGACGATGATGATGACGATG